TGCAGTAAAAAGTTAAACAATATTTAAATTAAATCAATAATTTTTATTTTCCTCTCTTGAATTGAAGAAATAAGATTTACACATTATGTTGAAATAAAAAGGTAACATATATAAGCTTACATATTCTTGAATTTAGAATAATTCTCTCTCTCTCTCTCTCTCTCTCTCTCAACATCATTTTATTCTTAGATTTACAGTTAAAGGGTCAACTAAACTAAATGAAAAATGTTACTTTAATATAAATAACTTTAAAGTTTGCATAATAGCGTTGGATTCGGAAGTCTTTTGTATGGGTGCGTGAACGCACATGATTTAGTTTTCGCGTTGTTATAGGCGATTGTCAATTCCCATAATGATAAAACACTCCAATTTCAGTATTTACCTCTGATTTTTAAATTACCGCGTGTTCGGTTTCCGTTTTCTGGTTTTTCCGTAAGACGCAATGTATACGTGCACACATATACATTGTGAAGCAGAGAGCTTCCGCGTTTATAGAAGCGGAAGAAGCTGCCGACGCGAGTCGAGACGCACGCGAGGAAGATGCGAAACGCAAGATTGTGGGCTGTTAAAGTTCATCGTAAGACGTAACATGGCGCTTTTCTATGATTTCGTCCGAAGATTGTAAAATTGCGATTTTTCTGTAGCGCTCCGTCATGAAAAATTTCGTCGGACGAGATGCTGGTCGAAGTTGATACACAATCTGACGATCATATTTTTTAACCTCTTTTATTTTTAGAAAAATTATATTAATTTTTTATTGATACACTACCACACATATTCACGCCATCAAACGTCAACTAGTAATTTACATTTTATAACATTGACTTAATTTGTAGATTTTAATTTTAATAGAAATAAAGCTTCTCGTTGATCCAACTGGCAATATATTTAGTTAAATGGTACCAAATGTAATATTTAACTAAATATATTGCCAATTGGATCAACAAGAAGCTTTATTTCTATTTTATTCGTCACTGGTGACTTTAAGTATACTCCTCTACTGATTTAAATTCTAATTTGGTCAACATTTAATTGTTTGTTAATTTCTAGACTTTTTTGCGTTTGCTTCTTGTATTCGTTTACAAACCGTGATTGTTACGAACTCGAGGGGAAGTATAAAAAAATTGTAAACTGCTTCTTATGTAACGTCTAAACTATACCTATTCTGAGTTTGTTGCTCAGGATGAGCAACAAGTTAGGTTGAAATTTTCAACGTTATATGTATTTATGGAAAAAATGATTATGAGATTAACTAACATCCTGTATTAGTTCGAGTTGGCCGTTAACTTATATAATTTTCTTAATAATTTTCTCATTCTAAATAATATTCACGGAACATGTTAGTACCATACTGTTTACACTGTAACGCACATCGTAAAAGCGCATTGTTCGCCACGGTTTTGTAACTTTCACGGATGCAGCGAGATCTCGTAAACACACAATCCCTTCACATCTTCTCCCTCCTCCTTTTACAGTCCAACAGATGGACATCGCACATCAGGCTTTGCACTTTTATGGCGGTTCTGTGCAAATCGACCGGCATTCTCGTCAAGGCTTTTCCATCTTCGGCCGAAACCTCCATGACTATAATTAGCGTGACCACGTGGCTCACTGACCAAATTGCCGTTTCCTTCTTATGGATTTCTGAGGAGACGCGTACCATTCGCGACAAGTCCAAATATCGAGATACCTGAATATTATCGAGCGTTTCTTCTCGCCTTGAAAGATACATCGAGACGGCTGTTTTATCAGGAACTATTTAAAATATGCAGTTATTTTTGCAATCTCTTTTATTAAACTTTACGTTTTTGCATGGTGGTTAAATAATTAGTGTTTTGCCCCTCACATTGATGATTAGTATGCTGTACCGTTATGTAATTTATTTTCGTTTCTGGAAAGATGTAACAGAGAACTTATAAGTAACGTAATGTGAAATCACGAGAAATCTAAAATGGACTACAAAACTGCGCTCGTTAAGAGTAAAGTGCCTATAAAAATGAGGAAAGAAATTAGATGAAAACTCGAAATTACTTTAATTATAGCAGTTGACTTGTTCTATTTAGTTCTGCTACACGCTGTATTAAAAATGATGAAATTAGCTAAATACACAGAAAGAACGGTTGAAGTTAAAGCAACTAAAATTAAAATGTTGCTGTATAAATTATTGTGCATATCTACACTGACCAAAAAATGGTTGCGGTTACCACAATCTCAGTAAAATTTATAAAGTGGAGGGGTCAGCTTGGCAGACGTAATTATGTGCTCCGACAGCTAACATGAGGCGCGAACGGCATCAATTCTCCTATTGTTGTCCCAACTATACAGTGTAGTGATGTAAACTATGGCACTACACTACAATCAATATGGGTGTGACAATCACAGATATAGCTATTTATATACAAATATCACTATTTATTATGATTGTGCCAATCCTAATTATGCATCTGGTGACCATATTAGTTTTTCCGCGTATCATTACACGAAGTATTCAATAAAACTATATACAATAAGTCTGAGATACTCGAATTAGCTCGCAATTGAATTCGTTTTGCTACTCCGCGAATTAGAGCCAGATTGAGAGAACCCGATGATAATGATCTATTTATTATCTATTTATAGAGTAGTTATGGATCTAGTAAAATTGTAAATTACCTCTTGCTGTTGATCCCCCTTGCTACATGTACTTCCGATACCTCGAAACTCCATGTTTGCGGAACGTGAGAATCGGGTGAAAAATTGCCGGTATTATGGATTACTCAATTTCGACCACGAAGAATCTTGATGTTTGCGTTCATGACTCACGTAGCAACGACGCAACCGGATTACATTGAAACCGGATTACATCGACCGTGAAACATAAAGCAAGGTAAAGGCGAAAATCCGTTTGCCGTCCCTGTTTTCCTCCGTCCCTGCCGGCGAACTTGGCTTTCTTCACCCTCGTCCGTATTTTTCCGTACAAGATTACTACATGAAAACGTAACACTCGCTTGAATGTATGATATACACTTTCTTTCGTTCGGGACGTTCGGGGCGTTCAAGACATTCCGTATTTATTCGACTCAAACGACGTGCTTCTGAGAGAAAATCAGTTTGTGAGAGAAAATTAAATCGCGTTAATAAGATATTTATTGACGTACTTTTACAAAATAATTTTCTATTAGCAATACGACATTTATTTAATTAGAAAAACAAAGAATTAATATCAATTTTATTTATGGTAATTAATACTATTTATCGGTTTTTCCTATTTTTGAATAATTTTTTACATTTTTATATTTTTAACTTAATAATTTCTTTCATTTTCCTTTTATTTCTTTTAACTATACATACGTTGCTGAAGATGGCCAAGCTTAGATCGAAACAATTTTTGTACTGATTAATGAATAAACCTGAAATTTCGAGACTCCGATATATTTTAATAACTTGTGAGTTGGACGTTTATTTATTCATACACTGAGAAAAATGTCCGATTAAATATAATCGGATAATCCAATTACATGATAACAAACAGATATATCCGATTAAATTGTATATCCGATGAAAAATATGATCGGTTTTTCAATCAAATTTCATCGATAACTGCATTTCATCGGATAAATTTCATCGGATGTATCCATAATTTAATCGGAAAACGTAATCGGAAAAATTATCCATCGGAAACACTATTTAATTGGTTTATCCGATGGGAATTTTTCTCAGTGTATAGCTTTTTCTTGTAATGGGCACTTTTTTTCTTATAATATTAATTTTGCAGTTTTTCTTCCAACGCAGTTCGATATGGGTTTACCTAAATAGATGCGATTATTAATATGAATTTGGGTGTGTTACAATCTTTATATTTTGACGAAGCTGTTTCTGAAACAACTTCTGTGTGCGTCCAATGCACCCACAGCCGTGCCAAGCTTCTGTGTGTGTGTGTGTGTGTGTGTGTGTGTGTATAGCATACACACTTTGGCTGTCTCACAATCGATCGCTTACCACTCGTTGCAACACACAGTGCCGTACTTATAATATGCACTCTCGAGATAGGCGATGCACGGCATGTGTATTCACATATGCACTTTGGGGCTATCGTACGAACGTAAATACCGCCAGATGGAAGAGGCACGAGTGCCTCGGGGGAGAACGAGAGCAATGTTTCCTCCCGTTGCGTCCGACAAAAACTCCTTTAGACGCAGAGATCGCAATAGATACTCCTCTCCTCGCGTTGCTATACATACATGAATCCGCAGCACTTATGTAGAGGGAATCGCGCCTCGCTCAAAGACTCACAATCAGATCCTTATCTTCACCGTGGCGATTTCAATGGAATTGGATAGCGAGACTCGATAACGTTGTGTCGCGTCGTACGTGCTGCTTATAAAAATCCCCGAAAATTTCATATTTATTCAAGCGATGAGTTTTTAAGAAAATTACATGGATATCACACACGCTAATTAAACTCATACGATAATATGAGTAGGGATTGGTACTGATCAAGTTCGATGTATACTTAAAAAATCCGAATCAAATCCAATAATCAAGTTTTGTTTTTGAGATTCGAGTAATATTCATAATAAGAAATAATGATATATTGTATACTTGCAAAGTAATCGAATCCCGACTAGTTAGTTTTGAATTCTAGAATGAATACTTGTAAAATTCGAGATGTACTTATAAGTACTTTCTTTTGTAAAGAATCGAATCTTCTTACAAGTTGTATTCGAGAATAAACTTATTAATAATGTGCTATTATTATCGCTAGCAATAGTACGATGCACGGCCGCGTCAGGTTTTCTCGTTTAAAATTTATCCCACAATACTATGGTCCCCTAATCCTTTCGTATTAGTGGGCGAAAAGTAATAGCATTATTTTGTTTGACAACCATAACTTTTTCTCCGTGTTCGTTGCGTTATAATAACTAAAATATACCCCTCTGGTATTTCAACGAGCGGCATCAATCTAATCAATCTTGTATCCCATCCGCGTGTGCCACGTGAATATTTCACTTGAGTTGCAGAATTAAAGCCGAATGGCTGGGTACGAGCAAGACTCGTGCGCCGGGGCGCGGTGAAACACGGAAAGTACAGCAATGACGCTTCCAGTTTCGAGCTATGAGGAACTTCTCGTCCAAGTCCGTGAGCTCACCCACGAAACGATCCTCCTGCAACGCCAATTGTCCTCCGATCTCTTCGACAGCGCCGATCCGCCAGACGTGAATCACAACTTCTCCTTCGTTCGGAAGAATTACGAGAAGGGTAAGGTAATATTTCATTCTTGGCGGTCTCGTAATCTTTAAGCAAAATAAAAAGTAACAATACGTCAAACTAGAAATGTATGTCAAAATAAACGAAGTGATATAAAAACTCGTCCCTTAAGTAATCGTCTCAAAGAACTCCGTGGAATGTGAAGGTTTTATCCGCTCGTTTGGTAATGCATCGATCTCGGCTATAGGGCTATACTTCTTATTGTTAGTCCGGGGTCTCGAGGTAACTAAATATATGACAACATAACTGGTGCATTGAACTCTTGTTGAACCTCATGTCTGCGCCAATATAGTCTTAACTATAAGGATGCAAATGAACATCCGGCGAAAAACTGGACATTGGCAATAATACGTATTTGTGCCCGCTGCCATTGCGCATAATCTTACAGCAAACACCAACCAATAGATACAGAATATCAATATTATAATTTTCTATTTAACAATATAAATGTAATATAACACGTGCTGTACATTCCCAGATAGCAATGCATGTCTAAAAGACATCTTTATGATGCTGGTTATAGCACGCTGGGTTCCCGTACAGCGCGCATGTTTAAAAGACATCTTTAAGACGTCTTTAAGTCGTCTTCTAGATATGTATGTCTAAAAGACGACTTAAAGATATCTTTTAGACATGCCTGCTGTATGGGTCATAGTTACATTTTTAGTAGGAAATTATAATACTAATATTATGTAACTGTTAGTTGCTGTTTACTGGCTAGTCGTGTCGTAAAATATTGTGTAAATCAGAATAACAAAAGATCCGTGATATTACCGACGTATATATATTACATAGAACATTTAATTCCGTTTATTATATGTAATCAAAAGATATAAATATATATTATACATAATACGCCACACAACTGCAGCTAAGAACCTCGCAAGTATTTATCGAGCTATTGTCGGACGGGTTTATTTTCGAAAATCTCTGATAACATTCGCGTTCATTCTCGTTTCTCAGAATCGGTTATCGATGTTAGACGAACGGATCGCCAGTGAGATCCGATTTAAACTTTCACGGACAATCCTGGAATAATTACGTCTGGCAAGTAGTATCTGTATTGATTGGTAAGATAAATAACGGTTGGATCGGTACCATTTAGATGAAAGCACTTCGCGACAAAGCAGACTAAAGGGAAGCACACAGCAAGTCGCGATCCTTGTCGTATTGGAACAAAAGTAAAAGTGCCTAACACCTCAGAACGAAAGTTTAACGGTTCCTTTTCCAGCACTGTTTGAACTGTCTCTTGCCAATTCTGCTTTATTCGCCTCAGCCGAGATTCAAGTGCTTGTTTTGCATCGCAATGTCGTTAGTCGTTGTCCCTTCTGCATTTTGCAACGGCGAAAATCAATGCGAGCGCGAAACTCCATTTATCTCTTATGATGATATCCGCGATACTCGATTTTCGCAATATTCTCAAGCGATATTCTAACGTGAGAGAAAAAAGGATTATGCACGTGCTGGTGTAAAATTAAACCGCGAAAAGAATAATAATATGTAATTAAAAACTTTTATATGTAAATAATAATAATAATGATTTATACACGGTGATTCCTAAGTAGGTATAAAAAATGTAAAAGAATATTCCTTGACTTATTTTATGAAGAAAATGTCCTATAAACGTATGTTCTAAAGTACTTTTTTTAAATACAGGGTATGAAATTTGAAAAGAAAGTATTTCGAAAATCCAAAAAAATCGCTTAGAAGTGCTTTATTAAAAATTAGTGTGGTATTAAGAACTATTTTCCAGTACTGATGAAACAGTACTGAATGTTTAGAATAAAAAAGTGAAGATATTCACACTTTTAATATCAATTTTTTTAACTCGAAACAGCTAAGCGGTTTTTGTTGAGTTTTAGTTTAGAATTTAAAAAAATTGTTAAATTGGGGAAAACAGTGGTGCAACATTCTTTCATTTAAAAAAAAATATGATTGCGTATCGCCCATACGCACTTGGTGCATATAAAAATATTTCATCGACACTGGAAAATAATTCTTAATACCACATATACGCACATTAAATTTGAATAAAATACCTGTAACGGTTTCTGAGATTTGCATTTTTTTAAAATTGCCTTTTTTCTCAAATTTGATACGTTCACAGGACATTTTATTTATGAAATAAGCCAAGGAATAACTTCTCACATTTTTGTACTTACTTAGAAATCACTCTGTATAAATCATTATTGTTAATCAGCCTGTATGCATATAAGACTAATAAGACAATAAAGTTTCTAACTTAATTGAAGTTTTTAAATATATAACAGCTATTACATGTCATCGTTATTTCCATAGAATAAAGATTATGTGAAGTTATAGACTCAAATTAATTAACATTTTATTCGACGGTAACGTTTACCTACATCGTAAATAAATATCATACGCGGTGGGTAGCTTCGGTTTGCGAGTTTATTTCGAGTTTCAGTCCTCGACAAATGCAAGCGCGTATCATATTTTGCTCGACGAGCTTCAGCCCGTTGTGCAACATTCTACTCCTTTGCAGTCTTTGCACGCTCGCACACGAATAGTTGCGAACTGACACGGCGATCTATCAAAATTCAAAATAATTTCGGTGCGCGATAGATCCCTGAAGAGCTTGCGTGGGTGCATGCGAGTTTATTTTCAAGCAGGAAGTGCCGCGCAAAGTTACGAAACGAGTCGGCTCGGTTTTCGTTTCCTACGTCGCAAAATCTTGCGATTAAGACGGTCGATGAGGTTATGCTAATACTATTTCCAGACTGTAGCAATAAGGAGTTTTTTTTTATATCGTTTTATATTATTGCTTGCGTCAAACGTCCTTAAAAAAGCGCACGATGGATTTCCTGAGTAAGTGCCATTTCGGGGGAGAATTTATCAATTCACCGAAACTCTCTTTTTCTTTGCTCTTATCACTTTTATTTATTTTATCATGTTTCTTCCTGCAATAGTCAATAGCAATCTCGTTTTTATTCCTTTTTCTCTTATTTCTTACGTTTGCGGCGTACAAACTTATCACATACTTTTGATTTAGTATAATGACTCCATTGACTTTTGCATATGATACTCGGACGATAACAGTACTAATAGAAAAGGCAGTGATAAGTGAATATTAATTATAATAATAATCGTGTGTCTGCGCGAGATCTTTAAAAATAACTAGTTTAAGTTAACAGTTGGCACTTTTAAAAATCAATAACTTTTTAGGTGTCTATCTTAATTTTTAACTGTTATATTTAACCAGTTATTGCCTAGCATGGGTAGAGTGGATAAAATTAAACAGGAAAATTCTCTACCATTTTGTAAATTTTACCGTTGTTAAGGAATTAAATAAAAAGAATTAGTAAACGTGATGCGCATATACTAATCTCTGCAAACAAAGTCATTTAAAATTTGACTCATCATGTTAATGATCTTCTGGCAAAGGCAAATGATTCATGATGGTAGATAATTAAGTATCAGAGTTATTATAAGCATTACACATCACTTGCTATTACCAACAGATTTAAATCATTTCGAATTATCTTATCTATACAGATCGACCTTACGCTTCTCACATATTCGTTCGTTAACATTATTTAATTCCTTGATAACTGTTATATATTTTGTAAAATGGTACAGAATTTCCCTCTTCAGTTTGATTTCCTTTATCTATGTAAAAGTACATTGTCTTTGACTGTTTTTAATTATTTTTAATGGCCTTCTTAATGAATGTTTTATTTTTCTGTACTCTTTTAATATCTACAACAATATATTTATAAATAATATGTATTATTGTATCACATTAAGGAAAAACACATCATCTTATAAAAGATCTAACCTTTTTATTAACTTTCTTTCCTAAATTTAAAGTGTACAATTAAAAAATTAATTATGTAAATAACATATAGTCTTGTGCATAATTACCTTTGAACTTTAACAAGTGCATTAATTTTTTAACTTAATAACTTTAATTAATTTAATATTTTTAACTTTAATTTTTGTAACTTTTTACTCAAAATTAATTAATTCTTGGATTATTAACTTTAGACTTACCATAGTTAAAAAAACTAACTTACCCGGAATTAAATATTTATTTTTACGAATAACTGTCAGATTAAACTCACGCAGGAATAAACTGTGTCTCACACATACATATATCTTCATGATATAATCTCGTGTTACAGGGAAACTCTTGACAGATAACGTGATACGACACTGCGATAAAACGCAAGAAATCGAGGCAGGACAAAATCCTCTTGCTGAATGCAAGTGAGTATTGTCTTATATCAGAAACTTTTTTTCTTTTACGAAAGACGCATGACATAAATTTGATACAAAAGATAAAAAAGGAAGAATTTTATGCGGAGAAAAACATTTTTGTTGCATCAAAATAAAATGTCTTTCTGTATTTTGTTTTGATGGACATCCGCAGCTTTTGTTTATTCTTTCAAAGAGGTCCGCACCTCTTCAAAAATGACAAAGAGAAAAAGAACCATCGCGTTGGACGGAAGCTGCGGAGAAAGCATCGGGTGTAAGAGGAATTCCATTTGCGCCATGTGTAAGTGCATGTGATGTTGTTCCCTTTTATCTTTGCGCGGACGTGTAGAATCGCGCAAGCTCTCGTCAGCTTGCACTTTGCAAATGAATCGTGGTAAATCTTATGCACGCGTGTACTGTTGCATACGCTATTGTTTGCACAGATCATATTAGGGAGCAAGAGAAAAACAAGGTAAAGCGAGATATCGCACGTTTGGAAGTGTTTCTAATCGTATAACAAATTTTTTACAACATTTACGTATCTTGTTTTATTTTTCATACGTAATTACAGGTTTTATTAGTTTTATACAATAACCCTCTATCATTTAATCTTATCTTTCAAAACATCACAAGGGCAGATCCAGGGGAAGGGTACAGGGGGCGCATCACCCTGCTCCCTCCTGAGAATAATATATTTATACTATCCAGCCTACCACTTTCCACGCGCTTATTCGCTCAGACGATTCAATAAATTATTCGATGACTATTGCGAATTTTGTAAAATGGTAAATGACGTTTCTTCTTATTGTTAGTCTGACCCAATCTACCACTATTTTTCGTAGGGGTTCTCTTGCGTCAGACACCCTGTATAAAGCGGACTTTAGGGCAAAATAAAACTGAAAATAGAAAATTTATAGAAAAGGTAAAAAATTAATAGAAAACGCTGAAAGCTATACATATTCGCGAGATAAATTTGTCTAAATACTTTCACGAAATAGGTTTTATCATTTGTGTACAACCCTCTATCATTTGAGCTCATCTTTCAAAACATCTAGAGGGGATTCAGGGGAGGCGGTAAATAGGGCGCATCACCTCCCCCTCCTGAGAATAATATATTTATACTATATAAAGTGAACTTTAGGCCAAAATAAAAACTCAAAATAGAAAACTTATAGAAACAGTAAAAAGTAAAAGAAGAAGCAGGAAGCTGTACACATTCACGAGATAGATCTATCTAAATACTTTCACGAAATAGATCTAAACTGGATTTCTAGGTTTGTCGCCCACGCGGAAAAATTTTTAGATCCGCCCTTGCAATACATTCTGCACATGTATAATATCATTTTGTATTATCAAGTCACGTAACTGATTGTCGTGGGGCCGATTTGGGCAACTATCCGCGTACACGTGTATACATATACACACGCACACACATATCTTCATTCAGCATTCTATAATTAATAGACACATTCCGCGAATAGCGTTTATCGCGAGACGTGATGATTAATGCGTCGACGACGTTACCGCATTGTTGCAGCAATCTGAGATTTCAGCCGCGATATCGTCGCGATTTGGAATCTACCGAGTGCGCTCGATCGGACGAACTCACCAGCCGGCTTCTGGCGTTGCGAAGTCGCGACCGTCACTCGATAATATTGCAGGTAAGCGATGCTGCACCTGATCGATGCACAAATCCAGCTGCACGAATCGACTTGCTCGGCAGGTGATGACGTTTAATATACCCGACTCCATCTGACTGAAAATTCTGTCGCGTGTGCGACTGGTTTATTCTTTTACCTTTGCTTTTCTTCCACGTCATGTTGCACGCCGATCGCCTCAATCATTTGTTTTTTCTTTTGAGCCGACAAGTGTTCCCACAAAAAAATGCAAAGTATATAGATTATTAAATTGAACATTGATACCAACCTTGTTTTACGTGCATATATTTTTTTTATTTTATCACGTACGGTGGAGCATACAAAAGTTTTGAACCAAACAATTTTTATTATGTTGATTGTATGATAATTGCTAAAAGAACATATATATATATAAATTATATATGTAATAATACGGTTATGAGCGGTTTTAATTATATTTTTTGTTTTTTTATTATATTCGAAACTTAGTTACTGTAATTGACTGTTTGCCAGAACTTTATATATTTGTCTATATCTATAACTTTATTATTAAGAAAGAATGTACGAGCAAAAAATCGAATTGTATGGAAAATATGCAAACAAAAATTTGTCGGGTAAGACTATTTGAATCCAATTTTCTCGTAGTTGGAAAGCAATCGAATGAGCTACAGAAAGTTTTTTTTTTAATGTTGGAGGACTAACTTCACGCGTCTTTATATTAAACGCACTACAGTGCCTGCATCGTAAAGCACTAGCATTAATAACCATAATACGCTGAAGTGGCGAACAAGGTAATACGTAGCATCCGTATTAATTTGTCTCGCAATCAGTCCTGACCTGCAATGCAATCGCCACTAAATTTCATCTTGTAATTCTAAATTAGACGAAACGGATGTACCCACGTTAATACATATCCTTTAAAGAGTCGCAAACTTTGCAGCGCATAACAGACACGCAATTTTATAGTTTATAATTGAGCAATGTAAGTCAAGAAACTCTATTTTGAGAACAATGACTTGTTAACAGTAAATACTAACAATAAATTATTAAACTAAAAAGTTATGCTGTAAAAATTCGTTTTAATCTTATAGATCTAAAGCTTTCATAAATTTGTAACAAATAAAAATTTATTTTAACAATATCGCGAAATGTGTAAGAAAAAAAACATTTTAATGAATGTTATACATCTCTATTACATGACAACTGTATAGTTTTGGGGAAAAAAATGGAAATACATTATTATTTATATTACTTGAAAGTAAAAATTGAATGAATTGCGATATAAATGTCATCTAAATATCCAGCTCAAAGTCGTTGGTTTTATATTAGTATCTCTTCATGGGCTTTGTCAGTCCGTGATGCTGATATAAAACTGCCGATCTTTTTAGAGCTGCGTCACAAGAGTTTTCTTACATCTTTATGGTTTTCTTTCAACATTTGCTTTACGTTTTTCAGTTTTTATTTTTTTTTCTTTGGCGGACTTCATGTCTACGCTTTTTATTATTCATCAATACCCATGCCTGTAAGTTTACTTGTATCTTTTCTGCGTTAAAAAACAAAGGGATGTAAATTAACATCTTCCTTGCATCGAGGTTCTCAATTTTACATACGATTCATCTAACGCATCAATGATAAAGACCTATAAAGAATATGTTTTTTTTTAGTACGTAGTTTTCAAAAGTACTCATGTGGGAAGAATCTCGTACCTGTGCAATTTCACATTTAAATTTCGTCGAAATAGAAGCAGCGCTATGCGCGCACACTCTAGTTCACTCTTTTATTCGATAAATCCATCCGTGCAGGTTTACTCTGCCAATGTGCCCAATATGCGCTGCATAAAAGTCGCAGGCTCGCACGTTCAAGGTCGCGGGATTATACGCAACCCGTCTGCACACGTGGCTCTGTGCGCGGTGCATTTTCTTTTTCTCCCCTCCCCCCCCCTTTCTCTCTCTCTCTCTCTTTTTCTCTCTCGCGAGAGAAACCGGAGCACGATGAAATTACCAAAGGGGGCGGAATTTAATTCACGAGCATGCGCCACGTCTATGGGGGGAATTATCAGTGGGGTTGCCACTACCATCGCCACCACCACCACCACCACTACCTTCACCACCACTCCGCTGCTACCGCTGCGTGTTATTGATCAGGGTCCTCTTCGTTCCCACGAAATGACTAAAATATATCACACCGCGGGGCACGACAGATCGCGCCCCGGTTCCCTCCTGCGTCCACAAAAAAATTTACGCTTTCGGGATTTTTGCAGGAATACTGAATTTTTTCGACTGCCGATTACGGAAATTATGATATATGCGATATCGCGGTGGTCTGCAATAAAAGTATTATTGCGTGCGCGCGACAGTGATGGAATCAGCAACGGGAATAATGCGGGTAGCGTCTCAAAATTTTTGCGAGCGAGGTGACGTATATCAAATAGATAAAAAGATATAAAGATATCGTCTCGTGCATCTTGTGCCTTCCGGTATGGTTATATTTTCAATATCAATCTTATGAAATTGAAATGCGAGCTTACGCCAATGTGGATCGGCGCAATCTCTGCATACTTTTGTCTTTATTTCGCGGCTAGGAAGTCCCGTGTTGCGTATCGCGGTATAGCTTCATAAAATACCCTGTTTATCTTTCACACACTCTCGCCTGTTACATGCGATACGCGTGCAGCAGTTTTCTGCAATCGGGCGACGCACAAAGCGGGTTATTGAAAGTTTTTATCGTCCTATACGCATATCGGTCCGCGGAAATTTCATTGATTACCGACTCCGACTCCAGAATCGCTCTCGTGTCTCTTTCTTTCTTCCTCTTACATCAATTAGAAAGCTACCCGTCAAAAGAGTGCGGCTGTTATCCGTCTAACAGCGATGAAAGCCCATTCGCGTTAATGAAATGCGTGATCGTTGAGGACGAGAAGCGGAATCCCGTGGTTACCTGATTAGATAGATACGAGGAGAGCCCCTCGACACGGTCGTCCGATAGAGCTGCTGAAAGGAAGGTAGTGAAAGGAAGGATTCTGATTAGGTATATCGAAGGGAAGCTCGTTGATAATCTCCACGAGAAAGGTTTCTCGTGAGAAAATTTGTTGTAGAAAAGTGGACGTCATATCTGCGGTGGCGTGACCGATCAGACAATTACAGTTCCTTGACAATTTAAAATACCGGGATATATTGTACAGTGCAGTGCATTAATTCGACTTGGGTCATATCATCAGAAGGCATCTATGTTTAAATGTTCAATTAATTTTTGCCCGTCCCCAATTATTACCCGAACCGAATTAACGCACCGTACTGTACAAGAATGGTTGCGATTGCGAGGCTGTTGATTAATCGGTAAATTAATCGGTACTTCGGCGCCGCTATGATTATTTTGTAGCTAGAAAGAACGTTTTCAGACTTCTTCTTTCGTTGTTTTGACACGAGGTGCACCGTGTTATCTGTTTAACATTGTGCAATTTTATTTGTGAGAATACCGGTTCATGAATTACTCATTCGATGTAAATATTTGAAAGATTTGCAGAGATCTTTTATACGAAAGTAAGTGACATCAGTGTATCTCGAGAACGCATTCCACGGAAATAATTTCTCATTAAATCGCGCAAGAGCTTGAGACGTGGTGGAGGATATTCCCCAGACGGGAGAAGATATAACAAGAAGTATAAATCACAGATTCACGTCCAGACATACATACAGGGTGTCCCAGAGCTGACGCACTGCCCGTTAATGACAGATTCCTGAGATTATTTTGAGAAGAAATTTCAAGAATCAAAATGCCGAGGCTTTTAAAATTGACAAATCTAATTGCCCGAAATTTGTGCGCTTAAGCACGTCACATTGCACAGTAGTGAGGGTGTTTTCAAGCGCATCAATTCAAACAATATACAAAATTATATCATTTGTTGTACTTCGATCTCTTTAGATTCAATAACATGAAGTATAACAAAAGCATTTTACTTTGCAGTCGAATTTTTGAAAAGATACCTCTTGCGAACATGCGTTGAACAACTGAAGTATCTTTGTGGAATTATTTAAGCATCACACGAAAATGATATCAAGGATGTCAAATTAGACAGTCTATGTCTAATTTGAAGGAAAACGAAAGACATATATGTATATGACTTAATTATTATACGATGTAACTTAACAAGATGAACAACTGCCCCTAAATTATTAGACTCCGCAGTTCATTATTTGAGCTTATTTTATAAGATTAAATTTCGGAAGTCTCTTGATTTCTATTTACCTTGATTTTAAAATTATATTAGTTTCGAAAATAGATTTGATATGCTTGAAATTACCTTCATTATTGTACACTGTCACGTGCTTGAACGCGTGAATTTCGGACAACTTGACTTGTCAGTTTTGTACGCTTCTCATTTCAATACTATTGTAGCCACGGCATTTTGACATTAGAACTTTTTTCTCAAAATGATGTCAGGAATCTGTCATTAACGGGTGGTGCATTAAGTGTGGGACACCCTGAATATTATGAGCGGAGTGTTTTGCGAGTTGTTCCTTCGAGTGCCGAGTATTAATAAACAATTTGTCATTTGATCCGAGCCAATCTGGAGACGTCAAGAGTCGAAAAGTGTATTTTGCCCCCGGCAAAGGAAAGACTGTGGCGGAGACAGACGCCCTCCCAATTAGATAGAGGGAAGAAAAGAAACTCATAGACTGGAAAGAGGGAAGGAGCGAGAGAAAGCAGAGAGAGGCGATTACCGAGGAGGAGCGACGAAGCCGCGAGAGCTCGGAGAGATGGAAACAGAAGCGAGAGAGCGGACGAGCCGACAAGAAAATGGAAGGGGGAATAGATCGAGTGAGTCAGCGATGGCATGCAGCTGACTGCAACAGCCCAGCTGCCCAGGCCGAGCCCAGTTGTTTCTCGATCCCCTAACCTACGGCAGTTTATTTCAACCTCTTCAACGCTCTCTCGTACAGCGGCCGCTCTACTGTGCGTGCGTTCCTAGAAACCAGAAGCCATCGACGGCGAGCAGCTTCTGGAGCTTTTTCGTACTCAAGTTTCCGCAACGGGAACTTGCTCGTCTCGCGTGCTGATGATGGGTCACCCCACGACGGAAGAAATCGTTTCACTCGTGATCCGGTCGAACTTTTTGACCGCATTGGACTTCGTTGGAGGACAGGTGCCAAATATTTGTCAAGAAGAAGAAGAAGAAGAAGAGGAAGCGATCCAGTCGAGATTGAAGTTGGTCGCCACGCCGCGGTCGCTAGTTCCCGATGTCTAATCGTTTCTTAACGCATCCAATGGGTCGCAGCGAGACACGATACGCGGCCGGTCAATCACGAATATGTACGCGTCAGGTACTGTAGTCACCCAAGTATTGGCGAGGTTTCTTGATTGCCAGTTTCCCTTGTACGTGTTTCTCCTTTCCGTCTTTACCTGCGAATCACGGAATCTTCCAGCGGGGCCGTCGATTTCCCTTTAATTGCGTGCTGCTACGTATCAGTATATATGCAATCGCGCGTTCTCGACGGTACGACGGTTTGCTCGAGCAATCGTGCTCGGTTTTTGGCTAAAAAGACTCAAAGAGAAAGATTTTACGAAAAGATTCTATCGACATACTGCGACGCGTTCTTCGGTTAAAAACACATTCCTCCCGAGCAGAGTCGAAGAGTGTTGATTGAGTTTGAAATACAAATGGAAAGCAACGTCGATTTGTGTCAGAAATGTCGACTGTGTTCCTTAAAAGGAAAGCAGCCTAACTAAGCCTTGGTTTCACCAACGTCGCTTAACTTTAAGCTTGGCTTAATTCAATCTTTGTCTCTTTCTAATTGTTACCTTAGAAAGAGACAAACGTGAATTAAAATAACAATAAGATTAAAGTTAAACGACATTTGGTGAAACCGTACCTAAACACGTCGTTCATAAACTCAGGCTCATATTTTTAACTGCGCACTCGATGTTAACTGTAGCAAATTTGAGTTAACGCAGATAATACAAAAGTGAGCATAAGTTAATAGAAAATTCATTTTAAAGAATACTTGCAGAATTAGAAACATAAACGTCTAAAGGCTTTTTGAAGAATCAGCCGTCTTAAACAATCAGTTTATCTTGAAATACTCTCTAAAGTTTTTGGAGTAAAATGTTTACTCTATTTGAGGAAATCTTTACTCTATTAAAATGAATATTTACTCCAATAATAGAGCGAATAATTCACTCCATGGTTTTATTTTTACTCCCAAAAACTTTAGAGAGTATTCTTCAGAAGTTTATCACAGTGCATGTAACTTCTTCAGTCATTCTTATCGTATTCTTTTGAATACGAATGAATTCTGAATATGAATTTCTAAAGAATTATAATTGAGGAGAGGAGAAAACTTGGAGAATATTTTGCGAATTCACTATCTGGCAATTTATCTCGAACTATAATATTTATGCATGCAGAGCTGAAAATCTGGTATGTATTTTAATAGATCGAACTTATTGGTTCCGCAGTTGTGGTTCTTTTAGCAATTATTTATTGAAATCTAAACTGCGACATAGAATTTCTACGTGGAAAAGAGAAGTATGGCTTATTAACGTGTATTTTGTCCTTGATACGTTCCTCCGCACGTCTTACTGTTTCTTTTAAGGCGATGAATCAATGAAGAATATCGTTCGTTGCCTAGCGAAGGACAATAAATTAAGATAGAGGCTCAATTGAATGTTTCCGGCATTTCCGACTAAGGTGCCGTAAAGTATGTCCCCTTAATTAGGAACAAGAAGAGAACGTATAATACGCGACGTTGCGTCAGTCCCCATCCGGCGATTCCTAGATCCAACCGATCCCGGACGGTTATCTGCGTATCGAAGGGAACGTGATAATCAATTCTTTCGAGGAAAGACTATTTGTAAAAGAAGCGCAAATACGTGCACTGATAAAAAAATATCTTAATCCAAAAAATATTACTTTACTCAAGAAAATTATTCATTAAGTGGCTTTTAGTAGATTATTAACTTAAATTAAAAAATAATTAACTAATTAAAACATGCATTGCTTTAATTTAAGTATTTATTCAATATCAAAGAATAAATAATTTAAAAATTTTTTAATTTTATTTTAATTCTATAAAATGTTTACTAAGATGTAATTTTCACAGCGAAGAAAATTGGATGTCTTATTTAACAAAAACAATTATTTCATTTAATAAATAGTATTCTATATCTCATGAAATCTTTATTTGAATGTAGAAAATGTAATGATTTAAATGAATTTACTTAATATAACACATAGATTTACTTGAAATTTGATATTTTTCTTGAAATAGAATAGATATTTACTTCAGTAAAATAAAACAATTTTAAGTAAATCTATTTACTTAGTTTAAACAAATTTTTTTGTCAGTGTGGGTGTCCGTAAACCCGCGACACGCGCGTGTCGTCCAGTCGCGTTGTGACGTTAACGAAACGTTTGCGAAACGTTTACGAAACGCACGACGCGAGACATCGTGCGTGTGGGCCGTGCGTACAGACAACTGCATACAACTATAAATGGCAACGGCGAGACGTTGACACACGCAATATATCGCGGGGGTGATGGATCGAATGTGACGGGGGGAAGGAAAGTCTTTCGCGTTGACTTTGTTTTAAGGTCGATTCACACCATACGATAACCAGACAGCCAAGCCTGTAATCAATATGCATTTCGGGGATGTAAAATACTATTTTTTTCTTGTTCGTGTAAGTCCCAAATAATAACTTTTTACGGTGAACTAAAGTTCCGGGGAGGGGGGGGGGTCAAAAATTGGACTTTTTAATATCTTCCTTGCGGTGGAAAAGATGACAATCTCTCTACAGATTCGAGCTGTTCACGTTGAAACATGATATCCGTTTTCGAAAGCACGTGGCATCGCGCGAGCACGTTTCTTTTTTTCACCTGGACCATGTGATTGTCGAGCTTGTGTCGATAATGTGTCTCAGGGACGGGAGAGATGATACTCCCCGGATGATGTGATGCGACGGGATGATACGGATGAGACACGATGCGCTTGATTAGAGCGTACGACTAATTGCACCCGCGGAAACTCGCATGGCGTATCGCAGGAGGGTGGCGAGAGTGGGAGGGCGCACTACGTCGTCCTCGGTATTCGTGGGTCGCGATGACGGCGGTGGTGGCTGAAATGCCAGAGGGACATTTTGAAAATCTTTGGTTCGGCGCATGCGTCCCGGTGTCTTCGACGTCCGATGGTACACGATGGAGTCGCCGTCGTCTTCGAACCGTTGTCACTAGAAGAAACGGTCCGCGCAGCTCGTGTCGCACCGAATCCAGGAGGGATTACACATCTCCGGGGTGGTCGTAGACCCGACGAATCGGTGTCGAGTAATCAGTGATAATCAGTGCGCTGGTTCTCTCAAACGCGGCACGAGCCATCCGCTCTCGTCTCGATAGGATCGATAGCGAGAGAGATCTTTCCAGAGAAGAGAGATAGCTAGAGAAAGGAGCGCCACTTGTTCAAAAGAGAGGGAGAGAGAGTGTTCGATCAATTTTTCAATGCGCGTTTCACAACGAGATTGTAGGAGACGGACGATCCCTAAAGTGAATGTTCCATGAGACTGAATTCGAGTCGCGGCGAGAGATGCCGGGCGAAAATCGCGACCAGCTGTCAAGAGGCGAAGGCGCAGAAGGAGAGGGAGGAGATGGTGGCGGAAGTGCTCCAGGACGCAGAGAGTTCTCGAGAGGCGAGCCGGATCTTCGTAATCGTAGCGGACTGACCGCTACGATGATCCCGCTTCTACGCACTGGCCAGTTCTCGTCCGCCTCGCAAAATCAGAAGATCGCGAAAACGGAGAAAAATCGGCAGAAACTGACTATGGAGAGCCGCGGCACCGCCGCCGCTGCCGCCGACGTCCTCGACAAGGAACGAAGGATTGGCATACGGGAGGAGGAGACACTGCAAACTAATTGGCGCACATTAGCCGCCAATCGCTCGGCTATCCCGCGATTCGCCGAGGAATTCGGCGGTTTGCATCGAAATGGAAAGGTGATTAATCTTTTTATAAGCCTCTTGACGAGCGGAACGTGAACTAGGTCGTCGCCATTGAAACGTCAGTTCGAATAATAGCTGCATCGACGTATAATATATATACAGTATATATATATGCAGTATATATATTTTTTCTCAAAATGATCTCAAGAATCTGCCAATAAAAAGTGTCGCGTCAGGTCTGGTACACCCTGTATATTGTATATTAAAAGATATATAGAGGGGTAAGCCACTGACCAAAATCATGTACACCAATGCCTACTGATGCACTGAAATTCGATAGTAATGCTCAGTGGGCATTGTGTTATTTTATCTTATTTTATCTTATTTATCCTGTTTTATCTTTTTTTTATCTTATTTTTCCTTATAATGCCCCAGCAAGGCCTAATGCCCAAACGAATGCCTCAAAAATGCCCAGTAATGTTGCCAATAATTTGAACGGTACCGCAAGGTTCAAATTATTTTATTAAACTCACTTCTTAACATCTTAAACTCACATCCCTTTAACTAAAAACCTTACATTTCTTTAACTAAATGGAAAATTAACTTGATTTTTTAATCAGTCAATCTTTAATATTTACCTCTGGCTTTGTGCTAATTTTATTATATGTGTACATAACTGAAGTGTAAGATGATCTCCCTTGTAAGCTTGGCATATAGTGCCCGAAATTATTCATATTTCTGGCACAGATTATGTCAGATGAAAATTTCGCATAAATTTTTCAACAAGTAAAATATGTCCACCGGATCTTTAATCTCCTCCGGAAATGTTGGTAACTTGTGGCGTGATGCCGTCCGCTTCGTCACTCGTTTTCCCACGATTAAGACCGGGACCGAGATGAGGAGGAACAAGACGCGGTCATGACTGTGCCTGCGAAAAACACTTGTCGCAGTTTAGTTTTCTCAAACGGAAGCGCTTATTTAACGCGGATTAGATAACGTTGACGATTACAAAAAGACATTTCCGAACATAAAGACTACGAGGCGCCCGCGCGTAGTTTATGCGCGTACACAACACCCGTTCGTGACTAAAATACACTTCCTCGCTTGACCGTGTCAGAAATGAAATTCGTGATCCGCAAAACTGCTTTTCATGCATCGTCTGTTCCAAGTAATAATTATCTATCCATTATCTCTTAAGACATAATAAGAAATAATAAAAAAAGACATAATAAAAGACATTAAGATATTAAGACGTAATAAAAAAAAACAAATAAGAAAAAATTACGCTGTAAAAATTACATGTTTCATGGCTTATTTCGAATTATTTTTTTTCTCAAAAGTTATCGATAATTCTCGCAAGTCACAATTAATAATGACACGATACCTTTTCTGGCTATCGTTAATAATGATACGTTTTACATGAGAACATGATAATAACATTAATAACGATAATAACTCGGATGATATAAATAATACACGAACGCGCAGCCTCATCGTAAAAGCTGCTATCTATCTGCGATCGCAGTTGAGTGAGTCACTTCACCAATTACGATGTCATTAAATTGCCGACCCTCATATCTCGACGCGTCATCCGCCACGATGCCGCGGTTCAATAAGCCGAATTTCGCTTACCTGTGCCTGTGTACCTGCGTACGTAAGGCACTTACCAAGTAAATTGAGATGATTAAGAAAAATGTCATAAAAATCACAACGCTTCGATCTGCTAAAAAATTATACAGATCATTTAAAGCATAACTAATATCATATTAAATTTCGAGCCGATTAACCATTTCCAAGAAAATATAAGTTAAAATTGAAGTTTTACACGTAATATGGCAGATACATTGAATAACTGATATCATATTATATTACACAGGCTCACAAAAAATACCTTGTGTCAATTTACTGTAAACAAATTCTGTTTATCAAAGTATTAGGCTATTAGAGTAACATTTGGAGATTATGCTATCTTGAGGTTCTCACCTCACACCCTTCCCGCCACTTACCCCTGCAAAAAATCTCATGTACCTCTGGCTCGTTTCTCACTATTCGTCAATTATCTCTGAGACATGCCTCGCGACTCCCGATGGGTGCAGCGCGAATTTTATTTGCATCAGACGTGCGTATCTTTCCGATCACGAATTGCAAGTTTTCCGGTCGGCGGTTAATGAGTCCGCGGGAGAAAGGAAACGGACGATGCCGCTGTGAAAGCTAGAAGTAAATTCTCGCCTTGTTCCATTAATTCCCGTCTTTGCGATTTAGCAGGTCGTTCAATCGTATCGCATGATCGTACGGTTGTGGGGAACAGATTATCTTTCCAACGCGTGAAGTGCGTATCATGTCGAAAGCAGACGACGAGCAGCTATCGAGAGCTATAAATTCACTATAAGCTTTATATCTGCAATATAATTGCTTATCGACAGCCTCGTTAGTCCAGTTTAGTTCTTCAGCGCATTGCCGTTTCGGAAAATCACACGCCATTTTATTGGGTATCTCAGCGCCAGAGAAAATAGTGAAAGTATCAATCTACGAATAATAGCGGGGATGCGTTCACTTTTGCTTATTTGCGAAGTTCAACGCACTCTAATTACGTATACGAAGAGACGCAGATTCAAAGGACTATTTAGTTTTTACTCACAATTAGTGTTTAATTTTCATTTGGTGGAAATACCGTCGAGAATATTATCGATCTAAACCGGATTCAAGTAGCAGTCGTTGCTCGAAAGTATAAAAAAAAGGACAGGACACGGTGCATTATCGGTAGTCTTAAGTTTCAACATTGGCATTATCTAATCGAAGTCCAGTTTTTATTACTTTTATAACACATAGGAATGCATGAGTCACGTAAGCACGAGATATCTAATACACATATCTACACAAAACAATACTTTCTCAATGAATTTTTCGTAATAAAATAACTCGGCTGGCCAAATCTGTAGGAGAACACATTTTGAATGTGTCTGTTAAAAATTTTGTCGACAGAATACCAGCAAAAATATAACAGAATTTGCTAACAGAATATAATGATGATAGATAAATTGCAGAAATTAACAGAATCTACCATTTGATAATCATTCAAGTGATTAAGGTCTCCCTATTTTATTTAAATATTTACGAAATGACAGATTTTACTGGAAATTTGCCGACACTATGCCGTTAGATTATAATGGCAGGTTCTGTCGGGAAGAAGCAAGTTTCATGAGGACACAGATAATGCCAGATCTATTGCAGTGTCTGGGCAAATCTGCTGTCAATCTGTTGTCATATTGCGACCAGCTTGCTTACTGCATGGGAACAAACAACCAGCGACGGCTAAAACCTTCTGAAGGTTACTCAGGGGGGTGACCTTGACAACGTATGTCAAGGTCAAGATCATTTGCGGGGGCTGACCTAATCTAAAGATTTACCAAGATTTTTTTAATGTATGTTTTGTTAATGAAATTGGTATTAAAATATTGAAAATTATGTTTGTTATTATGAACTATTTTTTATCAATTATTATTTTTTGATCGTCCAAACTTACTGATTGGGGAAACAGGAAGGGACCTCTGAAAAATGATAGCGTAAGTCACAAAATCGTAGATTCGACCTTGCAAGCAAGACATACTTTGTGCACTGAGAAAAATGTCCGATTAAATATAATCGGATAATACAATTACATAATAACAAACGGATATATCGAATTAAATTATATATCCGATGAAAAATCAAATTTCATCGGATACATCCATAATTTAATCGAAAAAATTTAACCATCGGAAACACTATTTAATTGGTTTATCCGATGGAAATTTTTCTCACAACAGTGTACCTTTGTCTGATATACAATGTTCTTCGTCCAACTCAATATGCAACAATCGAACGACATTAGATCTGGCGACCAAAAAGCAAAAATCAAAATCTGCTGCTGCTCCGTAACTATTGGAAATCGACTGCATGTTCATGAGGTTTGCAGGAAATAGCACTGGGAATATGATTCATAAACGGAGTTAAAACTTCGCGAATCATGTTGTCTACATATAACGATTGCACGTCTTTGGTATCTGAATTAAAGGTCTTTCACATGCGTTGAAGTACATCTGGCAGTTGGCATGGAACGTAAAACTGCGGCACGATAAAACGTCTCGCCTCCGCATAATTACGCAAGCGATCGTATCGCGAGCAGCGCACTAATTAATAGTGCACGGTGTACCACGTGCAATGCATATCGCGGGTCATCGCTACTTCACAATTTATTATTCATATGAAGTCTGTTCTAACGATATAATAACTGTAACAAAGTTACAGCCAGAAATCGCTCGTTACCTTGGTAAAACACAGCGATATATTTAGAACGTCTACTTCGACCTTGACTTTAAGATTAGAAAGTGGCACAAACATTTGGTGCATTTTAAATATAATTCTACAATAATACTCCTATATGCTGAAGAAACTAAATAACGATTTCGATCATTATCGCGTTCGCACGCTTTCATTGAATAGATGAAGAGGAGATTGCACGAGAAACGATACAAACCAATCGAAATCAAAAGCTGCATTAAATCAAGCGATTTATATCGTGAATAAATTTATCGAGATCAAATCACTTAATTACGAGTTCACCGGATGCGTTTAATTGCATCGCATAACGGCTAAAATATGATAACAAATGCTACTCTCTCATTTCTGCCGTTCGCCATTTCTGAGATAGTAGTGACTGAAGACATCACCGAAATACAGGTGGATATGATGCCTAAGTAAGTACAAAAATTGTAAGGAGATATTCCTTGGCTTATTTTACGAAAATTGCCCTACAAGCGTGTGCCCTAAAATGCTTTGTTTTCAAATTACAGAATTTTAAAGTACAAAACACAAGAATTGAGAAAAAGAACAAAAGTTGAAAAATCTAAGAAAAGATATTTTATTTATATTTAAAAAATTTATATTAACATATGGTATCAAGAACCGTTTCCAAAACTAACGAAACCTTTTTAGATCCACTAGGGACGTGCATATTTACACTTTTAATTTCAATTTTTACCTCAACTCAAAAATAGGCAACCAGATAAAAAGAAATGCAAGTTTTTTTGTTGAATTTTAGTTCGGGATTTAAAAAAAATTTTACACATGGAGAAAACAACATGGCGTTCCATTCTTTCATTAAAAGAACCTATGATTCCTCCCTTAACACGCATATCCCTAGTGGATCTATAAATGTTTTATCAGTAGGAATATCTTACATTTTTCGTACTTAATTAGGAATTACCGAGGGGGAAACCGCTGACCAAAATCTTGTACACCAATTGACCAGTAATGACCAGTGGGCAGTGGGACTTTATCTTATTATCTTATTTATTTTATCTTTATAATGGCCCAGCAAGGCCTAATGCCCAGACTATGCCCAGTAATGCCCAGTAATGCCACAAATCTGTACACCACAATGCCTTCAGCGGTTTTCCCCTCGGAAATTACCCTATATTTATATGTAATACATTAATTTCTCATAAAAGCATTACGGCAATAAGTAAATCAGCAATTAATTGATAATTTTAATATAGAGAAATCATCTTGGGAAATATTTGCGTGCAAATCAATATGTAAATAAGCAAATCTATATTCTAAACTCAGTTTGTAAACGTAAATTTCGAGTTTTCGTCGCGCGACAACGATCTTTCTTTCACGGAGCTTCGAGTCTCAGGAACGATCAGACAAACACCTTTCCCCTTAAGG